TACCTGCAAAACAGTCCCATCAGCCTCATTTTTTTCCTCCTTCCTATTTATAATTTATAATCTCAGGTGTTCTGGCATTTGCAATGCCCACCAGCACACCTTTGCCTTTCGCTGTCTGCAGCAGCAGGAGTCTCTGGGTGCCTGTTGCAATATTTATGTTAAACACATCCCTGGTGTGGCAGACGTACCGACACTCGCTTCCCCCGTCTCTCCCCATCCGGCCGAGGACGGGGAGCTGGGGGTCCCCTCTCCCTGGCCAGGGCCCATTTCCCTGCGAACAGCGCCCCCCTCCGGCCACACTGCAGCCCTGCACCCCGAGACCTTTGGGTTACCGCCCATGAGGAGAAGGAGGCTTTTTTTTTTGAGAGCGCTTTCCCTCCCCTCCCTCAAAGCCAGGGGAGCAAACTGAGGAGGCTTCTCTCTCTCGGGGTTGTGAGGCTCTTTTGCCTTTCCTCTCCCTGCAGCAAAGGCTTTGCAGGGCTACCCTCTACCTGCCTACCTGGGGGCTGCGGCGTTGGTCTCCAACTAAGGTGATAGGCACAGCAGCATCCTGAGTTTCCAGATGCTGTTTTTGGCCTGTCACAAAAGTAATGACCCTTGTTTTGGTCCTACTTGTATCCGTCACAGGAGGTGTGCAGAACGGAGTTCAGCTCTGCAGATCTGTGACCATCTTCATCAACGATACGGTGATCCAAATCTGTTAGAAACCAGCACACGCCATCAGCCTTCTTTGCTTTTTAGTCTCCGAGCAATGTCACTTACTGGACTTGACAATTAAAGCCAAACAGATATTTGAAGTCTGGTTCGCAGGTAGAATGGCTGAAACAAACAAACAAAAAAAGTATTTAAAGGGCTGCAAAGCTTGTCAGAGCAGTTCTTGTCTTAAAAATGGCTCTGGAAAGCCTGTCCCATTGCCAGCCCAGCTGGCTACATCCCTCTGACTGCTCACTGTGCGTCCAGAAGGACATTTCAGTTCAAGAACACTTCTGAAATGCATCTCCCATCTGTCCCTGGTTACTGTGTGTGGGTGCATGACACGAGCCCATCTTGGAGAGCATCGAGCGGATTCATTTCAGATGAAGTTAAACAGGAAAATCAAACTGTAGGCATAGCCCTAATGCACTCTGCTGGCTAACAGGCCTTTGGTCTACATGCCTTGGCTAGAGCTTGTGGATATAAAATCCCTGATGGGTCAGGCCTTCAGCATCACCTGCTCCCCTCCTGCCACGCTGGTGATCAGCGTAGCTGTTGTGATGGGCACCCAGGGCAGCAAGGCGGCAGGCACAGCAAGGACCATCGTTACTGCTGGATGATCACAGAATCACAGAATTATTGAGGCTGGAAAAGACCTCTGAGATCATCAAGTCCAGCCGATGACCCAACACCATCACATCGGCCAGACCATGGCACTAAGTGCCACATCCAGCCTCTCCTTAAACACCTCCAGGGACGGTGACTCCACCACTTCCCTGGGCAGTGCATCCCAGTGCCTGAGCACCCTCTCACTCTCTCCGTGAGGAAGTGCTTCCCGATATGTAACTTAAACCTTCCCTGACGCAGTTTCAGACTATGATCAAAGCTTCGTCCACTTCTTTCCAACCAAGAAACGAGCTGTGGAGGTGCCAGCTCACACCGTGCTCCCTGAGGCAGTTCTTACTCTCCCAAGGAAGAGGGAATTAATGACCGTTAATGCTCCTCACAGGGCTGAGGGAGGGGATCCCAGCCCTTCCCCGGGGCTGGCAGGAGGCAGGGTCTCATGTCAAGACAAATTCTTCAGGAGGTGCAGCTCAGCAAACATCTGGGGCTGCAGAGGCATGGACAGCATTGGGTGGGTAAAGGGTGTGAGCGTTTCAAAGCACTCTGTAATGTTTCTAATAACCCAAAGCACTTAAAAATACACTTCAGTACTTACTGTCAGATTAATTTATTAGCAGAAAACATGTTTTGCTGCAAGGCAGACAATTAATGGAGAAATTCTCTAATTCTCTCAGTCAAGAGGCCAAATTATTACTGATAGTTAATACCTGCAATTAAAATGACTGCTCTGAAATGAATGGGAAAAAACCAAAACGCATATGGAAACTTCATAAAATATATAAAATATAGAACTTTTACATTTCTTAATTTTAAATACATTGCAGTTTTTATGTAAGAAACAAACATCCTAGAGTTCATTTGCAAAATAAGCACTGTGGAGGACGTCCAGTCGTCCAGTCTTCCTGGGAAGCACATGACATGCACGGCAGCGCCTACAGAGACCATGGGTTGAGAGTGAAACCCCATTCACATTGTTCCTCTTGGCCAGGATAAAGACCCTATTTTGTAATCCCAGTAAGAAATAAAGAAGTAGGGTTATAGCAATAACCAGAGCACAGAGAAATTTGCAATCTGTAGAAATACGGCAAGCCAGAAATGAAGCCAGACTTCCAAGCTTTCAGCCTTATAAGCAATTCCAAGTTTCATGGAAAGTTTCGTAAAAAAATCCTCTTTTTACAAAATGATAAAAAGTAAAGGTAGAATCTTAGCTCCTCATGAAGCACAGGTTACCAGCAGCATTCACTGTGGTGTGATACATTATTCAATGTGTGTGATACATGACTTGTATCTTGATTTACTTCTCCATGTATTCAAGCCACCTAGTTTCAGGGACTTTTCAATTTCAACTGTTCCTATAAAGACACAGACTTCTTTATCAATTTTGGCACCAGCTGACTGATCAGTATAAAACTCAAAGGAGTCTTGTATAAAATGTACAGGAGCCTGTTTTTTTCCTCCCCCCGCTTTTACCTCCAGCAGAAGAGCATATTGCCAATGGGTTACAGAAACAAGGTTTCAGTGGGTGGGGTGGCACAGACTTCTTACTCAAATCTGGACAGTGCTCTTCTGAGCTGCAGAAAATGCAGAGTAGTTAGAATCATAGAATGGCCTAGGCTGGAAGGGACCTTAGAGATCATCTAGTCCAACCTCCCTGTTTTGGGCAGGGATGCCACCACTTGACTAGACCTGGCAACACATGGGGACCGAGCGGGAATCGAACCCGTGACCTCGGTATTGATCCTTGTTGCCAGCACCGCACTCAAACCACTGAGCTAACCGGCCCTCTAATTTATTCTAACACAAGATGTTTACAAGAAGTGGAAAAGAAATTTGCCAAAGTAAAATATTTGTGATTTATAAACACATTATAAAAGTGTTTATGAAACATCAACATTTAACTTCATATGGAAGTTATAAAAAATTAAATTATATAATCCTTGATGAGAGGGAAAAAAAAAAACCCTGTCTGAAGTTTGTACAGCATCCAGACCAATAGCTTAATTCCCGGACCCTGAACTCTGAATCTGACAGATGAGGCACTGAGCTCTTCCAGCTGGGTCTGCTGGTCCTAAGTTCAGGACCCAGGTTCCTCTGCACTAGAGTACAAGACCTGGTGAAGTGGCAGTTCAGCTATTTTCCCATAGGCTCCTGTGAAAAAGAACGCTCTTTTGAGGTCTGATGCAAAAAACTACCCCTCCCTTAGGCGACAAACAGGGCCAGATTTTTCTCCTTCGTTCACTGCCTGGTCCTGGGAAATGAAGCTCTACGTGCCCTGCCTGGCAGTACAGCAGTGGTGCAGGTCAGCCAGTCGCCTGGTGAGATTTCTGCTGCTGACGCTATGTGCACCGCGCTCAGCCAGCAGTCGTAGCGCAGCCTTCGGCCTAACTGGGCTCAGAGAAACAGCGGATTCTCCAGCTCCAGTGAGACTGAATTCCCACAGCTGTAAGAGGACATAAGCATTCCTTGGTTCTAAAGGGCAGGTGCTTGCCAATGATGCTATGAGCCGTGGGGACACAGCTCCTCACTGTAGCTCCGACCAATGAGAACTGTACCGTAAGCTACAGGACCAGCAAACAAACTGGGTGAGAACAGACTCCATATAATTAACACCATGTTAAGGATGCCTTGCTATCCAGTTCCAACCTTTTCCAAAGCCTACAAGAAACAAACAGGACTTTCAGCAGCATCTTAAGACACGGTTCTCCTTCCAGGACTTGAAGGAGGGCAGCAAAGACAAGGCACACGAAGGAACTGGGAAAAGGCTGTTTATATATCCTACCAGCAGCAGAAAAAAATTTAAGTTGTTTGCAGTTGAGAGCTCAGCAGAGGAATCAACATCTTGGAACATCTGCTAAAACAAACATCTAGAGGTCATACTGAGAGCAGCAAACAGAAGGGAGTAAGGAGAGGGACTTCTTCAGAAGATGCTGGGTACAACTCTCTGTTCTCGTTACCCGTTACCTACCCAGCACCTCCTAACAACAACATTAGCCTGCAGTTTCACGGCTGTTTAATGTCACTCTTGCTCCACGTGCAGTCATCCAAAAGATTGGCACCAAAAGGATTCAGGCTATCCCACTGGTGTAGATCATCCCACCTAAGAAACAACAGGGCATCTGGCGCTTTGTTAGCTTCTGTAGTCTTAGAAGCCCGTTAGTGAAGACGAAGAAAACCTAAACACAAGCAATCTTCCCACAGTATATAGAGGTCAGCGAGATGCACACAGCCAAATTCTTTTAGGCCTGCATTCAGAAGCTGAAAAAAAGCAAAGCTGATCTTTGTCTACACTAATTCATATGGGCTGCGCTCAAGGAAGTGCACAGAGCAGCAATGCAAGCATCACAAAACAAAAGAGCTCTGCTGCTATGGGAGCTGGAAGAAGTTCGGTATGAGGGACGAGCTAGATCTCAAAATCACTTACGTAGCTTTAATTGCTATCCCAATGGCTTTGTCTGCTTTATACAAGCAGACTGAGAAGCAAAAGCCTCTTTCAGGAACAGGAATATCTATTGATTATTTATCTACCATTTCTTAGAAGATTCTCTTGATGGCTGTACTTGAAGAACTAGGGCTTACTTCTGCATTCTGCTAGTCCAGAACTTAGAAATCCATTCCCTCAATCCATACACCAAGGAAAAAGATAACATTTTATTATTACTCTGATATACCAGCAATAAACTTTCAGTATTCTTTTTTAATGTGTTAACAATGATTAGCCACCCAGTTACTTTCACAGAAAATACAAGCAGCATTTTTTTTCCCCAGGAACTTCTAAATTAAAAACACCTTCAGGTAACTCTGTAAAACATTTAAGACATCATAAATAAACTTATTCTAAAAATCACTTTCAAAACAATAAATAAAACTCTTCCTTATTTGAAAGTGCAAACAGGCTGCATTATAAAAAGTACAGAGCAAGACTGCAGAAGTGCTTAATTATTCAATAGTGACCAAGACACAGTTTCTTGCTTTGGTGCTGCTGGTCATCTAGTGATTTTATTTTCTGGACCCCATCTAAAGGAAAAAAAAAAGCGAGAAACATTAGTACGTTAATAAGCATAGTCTAAATACTCAACACATACACGCAAACTGGAATAACATGGGGTAGGGGAAGTTGTCTTCTTCCTCACACAGAGGAACACAACATAATCATAGTAAAAGGAAAAACTGCAACTTAAAACAGTGCATTGTTGAAAACACAGGCACACCATCTCAGAAAAACCAGTGTTAGAAAAACGAGCCTTGATAAAAGTTGTCAAAATACCCTAGAATAAATCTTTCTCCAGCTGGAGAAAAACCATTAGCAAAGGGAGGGACAAACAAGCCCGAACATTTTGCAGCAATTAATAATGTCACAAACACTACTCTGAGCCCTTTCCTCCCCACTTCCCCCTCCCGACTCATAAGGAAAGAGCTAAAAAAGAGACCTGCACTGATCTAGCTCACGACATACTAGGAATTAGCTTGTGGTACGTGGCTTTTCTTGTGCTACAGAAACCACATTTGGTCTTTTTTATGCTCCTAGCATGGTGCTCAATGCTTTGAGTAACTGCCAACTCCCTATCTTTATGCTCCATATCTTCATGCTTGAGGCACAGGAATTATTTAGCTTCTTTTTCCACATTGTCTCCCCCTCTGGATGAGAAACATTCTAAGGACTGGTAGCTGATAGTAGATGCCAGTGGTGTGTCCCTCTTAAAGCATAAAAAGGCTTCAACATAAGACTCATCTAAACACTTATTTTCTGAAAACAACAGCTCCCTTGCTCCATGGGTGCAGGCCGACAAGGATTTTGTGGCCTTTGTACTACATGTGTGTATACATACACCCCAAAATAAATGTTGATTGGAAAGCATTGGCACAGATTCTGCTTCACAAAAGAAGCACCAAAATGTTCTGCAGAACATACTTAAATTCCTTGGAGGAGTCCAATTTCTCTTGAAGAAGAGAACAGAACACAACTGAGAAAGTCTTTTTAGAATGAAGTTTAAAACATGATGAAGCAGTCTGAAATAATCTATGTGCCAAAAAGCATACGGCTGACCTTGAGAACAGCATTACTAAATCTTCTATCATGTGTGCCAATACCAAGTGTTTATTAAAACAAGCTTGTGTTTTTGACTTACCATTAGTTCCTCTACTCAAAAAACTCAGAGAAGTTTTCACAGCAAAATTTAACTAATTGAAATCAAGATTAATTAAGACTAATCAATCCCAGAGGGATTCAGGTTTGTTTAAAACATGATATCACTTACTGACTTGAATCATAAAATGAATTAATGAAAAAAAACTTACTTTCCCTGGCTGTGGGGTCATGGAATTCAAGGGCATTGGTGTGCAATGGATTTAGTTGCCACTGGTAAAAGAAGAAAAAAAGTTTACTTACTCCAGAATATGGAAGAAAGAGCAAAGGGAGAAAGAAAAAGTAGCACCCTACCGTCCTTCCCTGTAAGGTACGACTAGGGGTGGGGTGGGAAATGAAGACTTCCCCCTCCAACACATGCTTGCTTTGCTTGATGGGGCTGTGAGCAACCTGACCTAGTTAAAGATGTCCCTGCTCACTGCAGGGGGGGTGGACTAGATGACCTTTAAAAGTCTCTTCCAACCTAACACATTTTATGGTTCTACAGTAAAAAGCTACGAAGGGGTGCGTGGCCATTCACTCCCATGGGCCTGTGCAAAGCGGCAGTGCTGCAGTTTGTCGTGACAAGCAGCCTGAGCGTAGGCGCACTTGGCCACCTTCAAAACCCCCCACAGCTCTTTCAGGAGCCACTGGAAGGGCCTACAAAAACCACAGTGTGATCTCCCCCATCAGCTGCCATGCTGTGACGGGGAGGCTCAGAGAGGATTTCAGAGCGGGAAGCAACCACCTCCAATGACAGCAATGACTTGCAGGGAAATGTGCAAGGAAATTACAGAAAAGAGACACACTTGGCCCTACCATGTGGCACATGGCACAGCACTTCTTCCCAGTGTTGTGACAAAGCAACCTCTCAATTCCACTCACCTGATTAAAGGGCACAAGAAAACAAGAAAACATGCCTCTACGCCAGCTGCAGGTGACTGCTCTCTCCAGCCTTTGCCCAGGGTTTTTAGAATATAGTATATTTAGACACTTACTGTAAATTTGCTTACACCCTCGAGTTCACTGAACTTCATATAGGATATGTCTGCTTTCTTTTTTCCAGCATCAACATCTCCTGCATAGATCTGCTTGATACCAGCCCCTTTGATTAAAGGGACACATTCATCACATGGACATTTCGTCACAAATATCATGCTTCTCTCATCTGGCTTTATTTCTCGACACCTAAAAGCAGTCAGAAAATAGAATTTCATAGTTTACGTCTTGATAGTTTTGATTGGTGACAAACTTGATACCTCAGAAGAGTGAGTAGTGTTCTATTATCTACTCCTAGAAGCAACTTATTCCTACTCAAGTGCACAAGTACCTAATGACATCCAGTTTGTTTCTAATATCTGGGAACAAAACACCCACCCTCTGCACATATCATTGTCAGAAGCCACAACGATTACCACACTTCCACATTTCAGGTTATAGCATGGTCCTAGCAGGAAGCAGAGGCAGTGCCTTGTATCTGAGGGATGACTGCATGCATTGGAGTGAATATCCTTTAAAAAATAAGTTCACTTAAAACATCTGAAGAAACCTCAGGAGCTGACTGTTATCCATGAACATCCAAGTTAAGCAACACAAGCATAAACAAGACTGTGATTGCCATCCACACTTCATCACAGTGACATCATGGATTTGTCCTGCAATTGTTTCTGAGCTATCTCATTCTTTTCCATGGTAAAAATAAACCCATTACCTGAATGTCAAGGCATTCTGCTCCGCATGTATGATGTATCTGAACTTCCTGATTTCCCGATCCTTCTGTTTATCATCCATGTGTGGAAAATCCGCATATTCGGATCCAACAGGGAAGGCATTGTAACCACAGCCTACAAAATACATTGCTCCTGTTCCATCACAGCTTCTCTGCAACAGTAAGCAAAGCATCAAATCTGGAGACATTTAAACTAACTACTAAGTCAAAGTGCTGTGCAATGTATACTTTCACATTATCAGTTCATGCCAAGTCACAGCAGTTAAAGGAGAAGTCAGTTCTTGCTAACTGCTCTGTATTTGTATGAAGCTTTTCCACTAAGCTCCACAGGAGTTGCATGGGCTGTCACACCACAGAAAACACGCTGCAGCAGGCTTTAGAGGCTTTCCTTTTAGCAAGCAATACTAACAGCATGAACAAAAAGCCTGAAGGATTTAGTCCCTGAGCCTTTCTGCAGTGTACAAAATTACAGACAGCTGGAGTTAGTCCCAGATGTGCCAGAGACTGTTTCACCTGTCTCTCAACAGGCCCAGTGACCAGTGGGATGACCAAGTGGCGACTGGCAATTGAAATCAGAACAGGAAAGAAAGCTGCAATAAGTAGCTGATGACTGAAGTACTAAGATCAAATTAAGAGTATGCTGCAGCTGCACGAAGAATGAGGCTTCCTGGGACTGGTAACATGCATAATCAGAGACATAAAGAAATAAAAACTTTAAGTTTGGATGGGAAAAAGCACAGTAACAATATCTGTAGAAAAATACTGCTTTGATCCAAAAAGGAATGGGCTGGAGCCAGAATAGCACTTCAACTGCAACAAAAATCCTCAAGAGAGTGTCAGTCTATGATTGCACTGAGATCTCTCCAAAAAAAAGCTGCAAGCAGGGACCACACAGCAGGCACATGCTGCCTCAGCAGCAGCTGTGGCAGGACTCTGTAGCCAGGACATCTGGAAAAACTGACAGTGACCAGGGAAGCAGGCATTGAAAAGCTAGGCAGAGACACTGCGGCCATTTCTAAACTCATTTATACCTCCCCTTCATCTTGAGAGCATAACAATGAAGCAGTCATTAACTTGGTTACTAAGGAATGAGAAGTGCAAGCTTTCCATAGAGCTCTGTCTGTGTCTCAAGAACACACAAGCATTAAAGCAAAGTAACCAGCTCAAAGCAGATACAAGTGTAAGAGTGCAGGAAAAAGTAACTTTTTTCAAAACTTACTGATTTTTCTTCTGCCCAAATAATCGCTCCGACTCCTGTTTTATGATCCTCTAAAATACAAAACATTTTAGCAGTAAATAACAAAATGAAGCACTTCTGAGTTATCTATGCACTAAAATATGACATCCTAGAGTAAGGGATGACATTCATTGTTGTTTCGTGGAGAAAAGAAATGCAGAAATATTAAGAGATTCGAAGTCATATGAGTTTACTGTGAAAGCTGGTGTGTTTCAACTGCAAGGCCAGCCATTCTAACGCTTTGCTATGGACGTTTGTTTGCAAATGTGAAGAAGCAATCGATACATATATCAGATAAGAAAATCTGCGCTGAGAATGTATGTGAACAGGTTCGCTGACATGAGATGGCAAATTGATAAAAAACCATCTCGGTATTTACTGCTTAACTAAATTTACTTTATTTCTGCCACTCCCTAAGTTTATGGTTCTGTGGTCTGAATTCCTATCAAAATTAGTTGTGTTTTATACCTAATTCAAAGAGAAAATGTTAACAATCAGATTTTTGGGGGTGTTTCCTATCACCACCACCGGAAAACTGGACCAGAACTTCCATTTCATTGAAGCGATAGGACGATACGGCACAGCCTGAAACTGCGTCAGAGCAGGTTTAGGTTGGATCTCAGGAAGCACTTCCTCATGGAGAGGGTGCTCAGGCACTGGGATGCACTGCCCAGGGAAGTGGTGGAGTCACCGTCCCTGGAGGTGTTTAAGGAGAGGCTGGATGTGGCACTTAGTGCCGTGGTCTGGTCGATGTGATGGTGTTGGGTCACAGGCTGGACTTGGTGATCTCAGAGGTCTTTTCCAGCCTCAACAATTCTGTGGTTCTGTGATTATGTGACTTGGAATATTTTTATGGAATTTGGAAATCTTTCCCAGTAGTTATTGATGAGAGTCTTGACGAGTTAGAAAGGAGCATACCAAAGAGAAAAAAGTGTTTCAGACTTCCAGTGACTAATATTGTAGAAGTCGCAGTTTCAATTAACCATTTCACAGATTCATTGAATCATTAAGATTGGAAAAGACCTCTAAGATCATCAAGTCCAACTGCACACCCAACACTACTGTGACCTCTAAACCATGTCCTGAAGTGCCATGTCTGCACGTCTTTTAAACAGGGACAGGGACAGTGCCTCCCCAATTTCCCGGGGGAAGCCTGTTCCAATGTTTCAGCACTCTTTCAATAAAGAAATTTCTCCTAATATCCAATCTAAACCTCCTCTGGCACAACTTGAGCCCATTTCCTCTTGTCCTATTGCTTGTTACTCAGGAGAAGAGACCAACATCCACTTCACTACAACCTCCTTTCAGGTAGTTGTAGAGAGCAACAAGGTCCCCCCTCAGCCTCCTCTTTTCCAGACTAAATGATCCCCAGTTTCCATCATCCTTGGTATCACTACCATACAAATCACTCAAAGAGGGTCTTTCCTGCCAAAGGTATGTTTTACGAGGGCTCACTTTATTTATAGTCTGCATATTTGCTACTCACTGATGTATATTAAGCCAGCACAGAACACATTCTATGATCTTTTCACTGAGAGGGTTGTCACGCACTGGAACAGGCTGCCCAGGGAAGTGGTGGAGTCACCATTCCTGAAAGTTCTTGAAAGACGTGTAGATGTGATGCTCAGGGACATGGTTCACTGGTGGACCTGGCATTGCTAGGTTAAACGGATCTCGTGATCTTAAAGATCTTTTCCAACCCAAACAATTCTATAATTCTATGGTTCTATGATCTTGTTCCCCTTATATCCACTTATATAATAATGTAAAGCATCTAAATATGCTTATGTGTGCTGTTATTTATTTTAATTTCATTACAGGCCTGAAGTGGAATACGAATTTGCTCAAACACCAGACCTGAGTCCAGGCCAAACAGCACAGATAAAACTGAATTTTGCAACCCTGAGAACAAGTATTTAAGCTTTTTCATTCTATCTTGCTCTGTTTTCATAAATCACAAAACCCACAGAACTGGTTTTATGAAACTTCTGAATTAGGAGATGCAATCTGCTCTGCACCTTTTGGTGAACAAATTTGCTGAGGCTACCCCCGGCAAAAAAAAAGTTCTAAAATACAAAGATTCTAAAATATGAAAGGTTCTAAAATAGGAAGATCTACCTTTACAAATCACAAAGTCTGAATAAGCCAAAAGGTGCATTCAGCACCTGACTTGATAGGCTGGATTTGTTTATGCATGTTGGGGGGATTAGTTTCATTTTAAGCTTTAAATATGCACTATTTATTTGTTTACAAAGGCTTTAGAAAAGCAACTATCCTATCTAGATGGAAAAAAATTGTCACTAAAGAGTATCTGTCACTAAAGAGTACCTGTCACTAAAGAGTATCACCAAGTTTTAAATCTTCATAGTCTGATCTCTGGAAGAATTTAGCAGTTCTTAGTGCATTGCTATCCAGCCAAAATAAAGCAGTTAACAGAAGTCACGTGTATCAAAAAATACACCCTTAACTACCCTATCACCCTGAAAGTCTGTACATCAAAACTCCATCATCTTCGCAAAGAAAACCCCCATCAGATACATAATCACTTTCACTAACATGACTGGAACTAGGAAACTTATTATAACTGTACTTAATGCCTTACTGGGAGGATATTATTTCACTGCTCTTTTCTGAACAAGGGTACCGATGTGCTTAGAATATTCACACTGACTTGAAAACAGAAATATCTTGTGAACCTCCATAACACAGAGCCTCAAAGTGGCTTGAAGAATTTAAATGTCACTGTATTCTGTTTTCAGACAGGTGTTGGACACGTTTGCAAGCGCTCCAAGTGAAATACCTGCCCTGATATTCCCTTGGAAAGCTCAGTGCTTTCACACATAACACTATGTGTCCCTGTGGAATTTTTACTACTACTGCTGCTCCTGTTTCACAGATGTAGGAATGGAAGTCAGCAGCTTGCTCAGGGAATTATCTGGAAGAAGTGAGACCGAAATCAGGAACTTGCCCTACTCCCGAGACCCATTCTTCCTCGACTACCTTAGCTGCTCACCTGTCCGGTACGCAAGTAGCCTGGCTTGTATCATACAGTGCCGTGCAATTTCTTGGGGCAAACCCTGATGGTCTGTCTCATTTGTTTGCCACGATTCACTGTTGTAAAATCCAAAGCATCCGAAGGCAGGGACACTGGCAGCCACTGTTGCCAAGACCAAGACAAGATCTTTCATATTTTGCCTAAGGTTGCTGAAGTAGGGATTTTCGCAGAGGTTCTCCAGTCCCATTGTCATCAATATTTGCTTGTGCATTTCCTCATTTGAAATTAGGAATAAACTTTCATACTCTTTTATTCTCTCTTGTCTACATGCAGTATAGAAGTCAGTATTTGAGTCAGGCTGAGATTTTGCTATTTTTTGAACAAAATCAAACTTGGTGGAAGTTTCTTCAACAAATTGCACCATATAGCACACCAAGGGCTGAAGTAACACGCACACACGAGCACGACTATTTGACTTCAGCCTTTCTACTGCTTTGGCATCTAGCTTTGCATCATCAGTAGTCACGGGACTGGGCATTTCATTCTGCAAGCTGATTTCAGGATCTGCAGGCCAGTAAGAAATCCTGTTCACCCCAGCTGGAAGAGAAGATAATGCAGAAAAAGGAATCAGGCAAGTACAGTGGAACATAAACCTCACATTCAGCACCCTATTGCGTAACCCTGGTTTTATTCCTTTAAGGCCCCGAGTGCTGCTTAAGGGACATCTGGACAACAAAAATGCTAGCAGATATCAGTATCAGGCTAGATAATCAGACTAGAGACAAAACCTGAAGTTTCCTAAGTTCTAAGATGTTTGTGACAGCATAATTTTGCATCTTGCCTACAATAGATATGCTAATACCACACCAAAAAGCTAGCACTAATAGAAGTCGCTGCTGAGATTAAAAAACAATACTTGCAGAGATGCTGTACCAGCAGATCCCATTTCAGGAAGTGAATCATCTGACTTGTCTTCGTCTCACATGGGAAAAGAAAACCCTAAAGTACTCCCTGTCACTTCTGTGTGAAAAACACCCTTCCTCTGGTGCCACTGACAGGCAACGGAAGGGCAAGGAAAAGGAGAGCGATCTGGGCACAGTCATCAGGTTTAGGGTTGCTCTGGCAAAGTGCAACGAGTATGTCAGAATCTCAGCAGTGCATTTCAACCAAGAGACAAGCACCACCAATAAAAACAGTTGCACAGAGAAACAGGATCTCCATAGCAAACCCGAGATTCTTGATGATCGGCTCCAGGAAATGCACGTTCAACACTGGTTTCAGTCTCATGGAAAATATCAGTGTGGGCTACACAAGTTAGGGATTGCTGTACACAACTGGGACAGTTCAAAGAGAAAACATCCTTTCTGATATCACCCATCACAAGCATAATATCTACTCCACTACAGCCACTGCTTACCGTTTACAATCATTTTTAAACAAGTTGAACATGGTTTTCTGGAAAAATAAAGATCACAGTTTTTAAGTCTTGATCCATGTTTAATGAGTGCGATTTGGCCAGCATGCAAGTCTGCACTGGAACAATGAAGACCAACAATCTTCATATTTTTCACCACAACCAGACCACTCTTCTTTACCTAGAGAAAAATGCATTATTATTATTATTATTATTATTAT